GCCCTGCCTCCATGTGACTGATACTCACATCACATGGCTATCGTTCACACCTAATTAATACCTTTTGTTAACAGGGGGTGGATTGAATAGAGTAGAGGAGTAAAAGAAGCCATTTTTGTGAAGAAAGACCGCCCATCATTAAACAGAGGTGGAGGCCTCTGTTTTCAGTTGTCCCCCCTCGCTGCCATTGGCAGTATCACTCCAGTATCACAAAACTGCTAAAAGAAGCAAAACGGTAGCTAAAATGTAAAAGTGGTTTAGGAAGACAAATCAGAACTGTTTAATTGTTGCGAAAAGGAGGATACCGCTTTGAAACTTGACTTTATGTCGAGTTAATACAAATACCTACATTTCCTCAACAGAAGATATTCATGTGCAAAATTTAAGTCCTTAACTCAYGGCTACAAAAGTGGACATCAGGAGGAAAAATGGCAAAATGTCCTCAAGTCATTTGACAGTTTAATTGAAGCCATTTCTTTTTGACAACTGCTGCCCACACCTTTCAGTTTGTCAAATTAATAGAAACGGTTTTATTTTGGTAAAATTATTTTTTTTCTTGTTTTCTATCTAAACCTCAGTAAACAAAGTAGAGCCCTCTTCCTGTTTAAAGTTCTGGATTAAAGCTGCTGTGGTTGCACAAACATTTTTTTTTTATTAAACATATATTCATTTATGACAAGTGGGTCTTTTTTAAAATTATGGACTTGACTTGTTAATGTCGCAGTTAAATGCAATTTTGTAAAAAAAATGTAAGGTAATTAAGGACATTTACATTTGTAAAGAATAAAAGCCTCCGTGGGACCATCAGAGACTTGGCAAAGCGGTTCCTTGCAGCTCTCAGCAGCAGGCTGCAGCGCTGCGTGGTGCCTGAGGTGTGGTGACATGATGGGAGCTGACAGGTGGCACCATGGGTAACAGGGCTAAAACTCTCATCATGCAGCCCGCTGAGACCCGTTCCTACCGCTCCGGCCAAGCAAAATGTGCTCACCTGCTCGGCCACTTCTTATTTATTAGGCTGCTGCGTCGTGACTGAACGCTGCAGCAAAGCCACAACCGRGAACGAAGCTTTGAGGTTAATGTAGACGTCGAGCGAAAGGCCGCGTCACWCATGAGGTCAAATCAAGAGTGAACCAGCAGTTCATGTCAATGTTTTTAATCAGAGGTGCTCAAAATATGAGCTGAGGATAAATCCAAGCTACTACCACAATAAATCAGTTTTTAGATATTTAGTTCAATTATAAACATTTATATTTCTTCATTATTGTTCAGTGGTCAACGGGATGTAATAGTTCAGAAGGCGTCATAGAGAAAGTAGGTTGAAAATTAACAGATTTAAAGATATCTCAGCAACTAAATTCAACTTGTCTGCACTCTTAGATGCTCCAAATACACAACAAACTGCTTTAAATGGCTAAAAAAGTGGACTTTGCAATTCCCCTTTAACTAAATAAAAAATGARCATTTTTAACTTTAACTATTTATTTGTTTTCCATCAAAAGAAATGCACAGATCAGCAAAGCTATTACATACAAATTGCCATACAATAGCATATATATTTTTTGTATTTTTTTTTTTCATATCTGAGGGGTTCAGTTCTATTTTTCATTTATACATTGTGTATCTTGAACATCTGAAGTTATGCTGCATTCAGCAACAAAATAAAACAAACCAAGGCTTTTCTTACACGTTCAAATAAAAACTACGTACTGTACCTGGTCAGTTATGGGTTACTGTTACATACAATAAAGAAAAGAAAACGTTTTGCATAGCTTCATTGTAATGTAGATACAGTACTGTAAGGCACTTCAAAAAGAATTTTAGGCATTTTATTTTATTTTTTTTTACCTTTAGCCACATCATTCTACAAATTCACCTTAATATGCAACAATACAACATCTGAATAAAACTTTTCTTTTATCACATTTTTGCACTCTAATCTATTTAACCTCTCTGCTTTTTGTTTGGCATTAAGTCTCAAGATCAACATTCATACATTGTGCATAATAATGTCTGACACATTGTCCCATACCCCCACATACCCACTATTTCTCAAAAAACACTACAAAATAAAGAAGTAGAATAAAAAACAAACAAACAGAAATTGTGCAATAATTTGGGGTTATGTGGAGTAAAAGGAAACACACGTCAATAACATGTCCCGAATCAAAAAGAGAAGAAGTGAGTCTGAGCATGTTAGAGGTCTGTTTTTGCCATACTTTACCCACGTTTACCTGCCTCCTCCCCCACTGCTTGTTTTTGTTTTTATTTTTAAAATAGTTCTTGTGTTTGTTTCTGGTGAAGTCTTTCCAAAGTGATGCTGGGTTGACTCTGCGTTGGGTTTGTAGGTAGGATGTTTCCCGCTTCACGTGGATGCATCTGCTCTATCCAAGCTGATCTTCGTACTGCTTCCGGAAGCAGTCTCCAGCCGGGAAGAAATCCCAGAGGCGCTCCTGATACATCTTCCACACGTAGGACTCCTGCACCAACGTAGAGAGAGTCTGCTGAAAATCAACTTTCATGTACTCATATGTCCACCTTTTTTTATTTATTTTTTTTTACGTTTTTTTTAATCACACTGTTGAAGGTGATTGCAAAAATAACTTTGGTTATGTCTGTCCATTTGTTGGTATTGTTAACAAAATATCTGATGAATCACAGACTTTAATGAAGCTGGCCTGCTTTTCTTCCTAGTCTTTTTAGAATGTAACAGTTTTATACTGCCTGAGTAAGTAAGTAGGTAAGTAGGTAAGTAAGTAAGTAAGTAAGTAAGTAAGTAAGTAAGTAAGTAAGTAAGTAAGTAAGTAAGTAAGTAAGTAAGTAAGTAGGTAGGTAAGTAAGTAAGTAAGTAAGTAAGTAGGTAGGTAGGTAAGTAAGTAAGTGGGTAAGT